AGTGGGGCTGAGTATCAGGGCGGGAGGAGAGCGGGTGAGAATCCGGGTTCCTCAGGGACAGGAGCACTTGATTTATGAGCCAATTTCTTAAACAGAAGTCCCGGAGATGCCATTTCAGAGGGACATTCCCAAAGTGGCTGCTGGGAAGGCAGGATGAGGGTGGGACCTGCTCCTGCGCCTCTGCACCTCTAATTGCCATTATTCTTCAGGAATATAAACAACAGGAGCCACCGAGCAGAGAGGTCTGAAAGCTCAGCAGAACAAGGGCCTGGGAGCACAGGGACAGGAACTGGAGGTCAGGCAGGCCAAGGGCTCGTTTCTGGCTCACCACAGCCCCTCTGATGAGGGCAGATGGGCAGGCACAGCCTGGTCTCTCCTGCAGCTCTGCCCAGCTCCCCAGGAGCTTTTGCTTTCACGTCCCAGCTGATAATTGTCAAAGTTACCTGCATTCTTACGAGACCATTTTCCAAAGAAATCCTACCCTCTCCTGTTTGATCCATTGCCCCTGGATCCCTGGCAGTGTCCAAGGCCGGGCTGGACAGGACTTACAGCAGCCTGGGACAGTGGAAGGTGTCCTGCCCATGGGATGGAGGAGCCTGAAGACCATTCCAGGCCAAAGCAGTGTGTGGTCCATGACTCTGGGATGCTGCACTTGGATTTGGGATGGTGAGAGCCTCCAGAGCAGAGCACAGGAACGGAGCAATGGGAGGAAGGTGCAGCATCACCCCAGCCCCACGGCTCTGGTGTGCTGTCCCCTGCCCCACAGCTCCCTCCCAGCCACTTGGGGAAGTCCTTGATGGAGACAGTAATAGTTGAAATTTCTCGTTTTCAGGCATGGAAAGAGAAATGTTCAATTTTAACTGGGATGCTTAATGAAGATTTATTTATGTGGGAATAACCACTCTTCCTTGGAGCAACTGGGTTATTTTTTCATGACCACTAGACCTTAGATCTGCTCCTCATTTCTTTCCATACCCACAGAGGGCAAGAAATAGCCATACTTGGTCAGTCAGAAAATGAAATTAAATGCAAATAGACATGTACTGACTAAATCTGAGTTTCCCGAGGTTATTATTTCTCTAAATGCCAAGTCCCTGGGGTGAAGGAGGGACAGCATCAGCCTGGGCTAGGGTTGGCAGTGTGGGGGCTCAGCCTGGCCCATGGCCCCATCTACCAGTGCCCTGGGCCTGAGGCTGAGGATGGGCACCAGCACTGGCAGCACTGGCAGGCCCGGAGGCAGGGATGAACACAGGAAGGATGTTAAACTGGTTCTATCTCCTTGGCTGGAACCACCCAGTGCCACCCCTGCCATGGCAGGGACAGCTTCCACTGTCCCAGGTCACTCCAAGCCCTGTCCAGCCTGGCCTTGGAAATTCTCAGCAATGAGGCAGCCACAGCTGCTCTGGGCACGCTGTGCCAGATCCTCCCCACCCTCCCAGGGAACAATTCCTCCCCAATAGCCCATCCAACCCTCCCCTAGCAGTATGAAGCCTTGTCCTCCCCCTGCCTCAGCCAAAGGACACATCTCTGCTAGAAGCACAGCGCTTTCTGCTTCATGCCTGGCTGTTTTCTAAGGAAGATGCTTTCTGCAGGGGCAGGATAAAAACACCCACCAGGACACAGAAAGCTGCTGGGACACAGAAAGGCAGCACTGCTTTGGACACCATCCCTGCCCATGGCCGGGTGGCCCCGGTGCCCGGGCGGCCGCAGCCGCAGTGACAGCTCCTGGCATGGGACAGCAGCCCCGCTGACTCACCCAGTACAACTCCTGCCCAGAGCAGTTTTTCCATAAAAATAAACCCAGCACTAATAAATAAATGCATTCCCATCGTAAAAGCCCGACTGGTGGCTGGGAAGGAAAAACCTGAGCCCAGCAGCAAAACAATTTCCCTCTGGATTGGAGACTCTGGACTGTGCTGCAGGGAAAGCACGTCAGAAGGAGCCAGTTTCCCTGGGGAGGGGGACAGGGGGACCTGCACCGAGGTGGAGGGACCCCAGCCCCAGCACAGCCACTGCTGAGCAGCTGGGAAGGAGGGACACTCGCTCACGAGGGGGATTTAGGAACTGGCACAGCTCCTGGCAGAGCAGACCTGGGGGATACACGAGCATTTAGCAGGGAGCCAAGGGCTTTTGTAAACAGAAGCTCAAACAAACATCTCTCATTTCACAGATGGTGCTCACAATTTGCAGCTGGCACATTTAAAGGCCACCTTGGACACATCGGTCTCACAGCCACAAATGGGACACAAGGAACGCCCCAGGCCTGCAGGACTCAATATGTGCACTCCAAAGAGACTCCTGCTGAAATCCACAGGAGTTATTTCCACAGGAATATCAGGAGGACTGCTCGTAGGAATGAAGAACATCAGAATGACCCAGCTCCTTTCCCTGCAGCTTCCCAGTTTGGGTGAGTACAGGCTCCCAATGGGCTCGTGGGGACTGCCAGGAGCCAGCCCCTACTGAGCAGCTCCTGGCTAAAAATTACAGGAAATTGTGGGGAACACAAGAAAATCCCCAAAGTCCTGAAGCAGAGCCCAGGCACAGGTGTCACAGGACCAGCAGAGCATCTGGCAGTGTTTGACAGAGCACAAACCCCAAGGCACCTCCAGCCCCTGCCACGGCCACGGATCCTAACTGTGGGCAGGTAATTCCAGGGGAGCTCCAGAACCCCGGCACAGCAGCAGCAGCTGCCCCAGCCCGGGGCAGAGTGCGTGGCTGCCCGAGGCTGCCTGCAAAGCCCACATTTCTCAGCTGCCTGGGCAAACAGAAGTGTCTTTATGGAGACATTATTTGGGCAGCCCCGCGGAGCAGCGGGACGGAGCCGCCGGACACTGGCACCATTCACACCCTGCCCCAGCCCAGCCTGCAGCCACGGGGCAGGGCTGGGGACAGACCCACTGCTGGCAGCCCTCCTCACCCTCCTCATCCTCACCACTGCAAACCCGGCCCACCGAGGGCAGAACCCCACAGGGCTCTCAAAAACACTCCTGGACAAGCAGGAGTGTGCCACACACACTTAGAATAAAATCCAGTCAACTGCTTCATTTCTCATTGGAAGATTGGATTAAAAAAACAATTGATTTAAATATTTGGGGTCACAGAGAATACTCAGCCTGTGGTACTAGCCCCCTTAGGATCCATATTTCAAACTTAAGCTCAACATAGACCAAAACCCTGCGTGATCCTGCATGTGCACGACTTGTGGAAAAGCACCAACTGCCACCAGCACTGTCAGAGGCACGAGCTGCCAGTGCTGTCCTGCCCAGCCCTGTCTCACCTCACAGAACAAAGGCTTTAACTGGCACAAGCACCTGGTTCAGTGCCAGCCTGCTCACCTAATCCCTCAGGAACAGCACGGTGCCTCCGCTCCCCAGAGCCTCACACAGCTTCCACTGAGTTATTCTGCTGAATGCCTCTGCAACTTCCGCTAAGAAAGAAATCCTTAGGAAGAGACAACTCTTGGAATCCGAAAAACTGTGAATTTGGCAACCAATCCTTGTACGGTCCCAGCAAGACCCAGGCTCACATACCTCATCCTGTGATAAGACACACCACGTTTTTGCCCCTTGAAGCTCAAACTAAAGCCATCCTGATGGGGAATGGGATGTGACTGACACCACAGCTTAACCCAGGCACAAGAGAGAGAAGCATCTTTACTCCATATGTACAGCACAGCCTTGATTTGGAGGTGTCCTACCTTTGGGTGGTGTGTCCTTTCCCCATGGCTCTCCTGGGCTGGGTTGGGCATCCCAACCCTGCTCCTGGGCACAGCGAGGAGAGGCTGCTGCGGGGCTGCTGCAGCTCAGCGGTTAGTGGCACGAGGAGGATGATGGAAGCACAGCAGATGGTGAAGCTGGATGAAGCCTGGGTCTGTTCCACACTTACCTTCCTGCCTGGGAGAGCCCGGCAGGGCCTGGAGCCATCCCAAACGCCGGAGTGAGAGCTGCACCTCAAACTCCAAACCCAGCCCAGCCAAGGCAACAGCTCACCATGGCCACAGCACCTGTCCCAGCACTGGCCATGCCCAGCTCCACTGGCACCCAGCTGCTCCCAGGGCATGGGGGCTGCTTCGGATGGGTGGGGACTGGGAGGGTCTGGGGCCACGGGAGGGGTGGCAAGGATGGTGTCCCTGATCTGGGAGAGGTGATAAAGATGGTGTCCTGCTCTGGGAGGGGTGACAAGGACAGTGCCCCTGCTCTGGAAGAGGTGGCAAGGACGGTGTCCTGCTCTGGGAGAGGTGGCAAGGACAGTGTACTGCACTCAGAGGGGTGACAAGGATGGTGTCCCTACTCTGGGAGAGGTGACAAGGACAGTGTCCGTGCTCTGGGAGAGGTGACAAGGACAATGTCTCTGCCGCCCATCCAGGGGTTGCACAGGGCATGCCGGGAGCTCTGGGGGAATGGGTTTCATCTCCTGGAGATCTGAGCAGATCCTCACGAGGGGAGGGGAGCTTCTGTGGGAAAATGCGGCGGGGCTGGCCTGGCAGGAAGGAAATTCCCCCGGCGGAGCCGCCAGCGCGAGGGTTCCGCTGCGGCAAGCTCAGGGCCTTCAGAAATAACCCGGCCGTCCCCAGGGAGGCATTGCTAAGGTCACCATGTTTTCCCTTGAACTTTCCAGATGAAGGAAGCAATAGCAGAAGCAACGGCATAGATTTGGCTGGAGATCAACTGTACTGACAACAGTCACAGGATTGAAGTCAGAAGAAAAGTCCTTTGTGTGTGTCGGAGTTATCACCAGATGGGCCAGGCAGCACTGGGGAGTTCTGTTCAAAAATATCCCACGTGGGCATCAGAGCTGGAACCCATGGCAGATGTAACCCACAGTAACTGATTCCACTGCTTAGACCGAGTTAAAAATGGAGGCAAACGTTTGGTGCCCATTAAAAATTAAAACGTTAAATTGTATTCTTCAGCAGGCTGCTGAGGTTGAGAATAAGAAACAATTCTGGTTAAGGATTAAAGATGGAGAGTCTATAAAACACTAATTACCATTGTACTTACAGGGAATTTGGCCTGTTGGGCTTAATTACTTCTAGTTCAAGATCACTGGAGTTCAGGCTGGGCTGGGGAGCGCTGTTGGAGTTGAGGAAGCTGTTTACATTTGAAGAGACCACGGATTCCAGGCTGGAGTTGATGATGCTGTTCCTGTTCTCCTCTAAAAAACACCAAAGCCAAGAATCATCAGCTGCCACTGCAGACAAAGTGAAGAGCGAATGGCTGTGAAGGCATCAAGCATTCCCAGGAAACCCTGTGCCAGTGCAAACAGGGACATCTCCCCAGAGCTCAGCTAGTTACAGACACATCATACATTAAACCACAAGAAATACCATGTACTCTTTGGCTCTTTTGGGTTTCAGATGCAGATACATTTAAATGAACGCCATTTTTAGTAGGAAAAGACACACTTCTCTTATGGTGTTAATATTTTACATGCCTGAAGGAATGTAAAATATTCCAAAATGCCACAACCTGAAAGAAATTGAAATGCAAGCTATGTACAGGAATGGATTTGTGTGACTGAAATCAGCTCCCAAGGGACAGAGTAGGACAACACCTTAGACCAGGAACAGGGCAGATCACCCAGTTAAAGTTGCTTCAGCCTCGTATTTGACACCAGCTACTGTTTCTCTTGCCTAGTCAGTTCTGAAGGGAGAAAAGGATGGGTCTCTGCTCCGTTTTGGCTCAGCTCTGCAGCAGTGGAGCAGAAGTTTGCCTTTGGATCTGATCAGGAACGGGATGTGCTGGGCATGGCCCAGAGCTGGGGGAGTGCTGCCCCTGCTCTGCTGACAGTCCAGGGCTTCTCAAATCCTCCTTTCCCTCCTTCACGTCTGCTGAGAGCTCTCCCCATTGTTTGTGTAACTCCAGCAGTGAGCACTGACATCACTGTGCATCTCAAAGAGCCACCACAGCACAGGCCCCCTCCTCAGCTCTGCCAGGCCACCCAAAATCCGTTAACTCATTTCCAGGAGATGCCTTTGCCATTGGAGCACTAATTGCGGTTGTGAGAAGCAATTAGCAATGCTGATGGCACAAGAGCAGCCCTGGGCAGAGAGCTGCTGCTTCTGGGATGCTGCTTCCCTGAAAGACAGGCACCAGCTGGAGAATATGGAGTCCTACTGCAAGGATATGTCTTTCCAAAATTATTTTTCCAGTGCACAATAACATGGTCAAATTACAACCCAAAAGCATGTAGTGACAAGGAATCCTTGCTCTCAATCCCTTTAAATTCCACCTCTTTTTGAGTGAGGAGAATGTGCAATATTAATTTGTATCCTGTGCACATATAAATGGGGGTAAAAGAGTGCCAGAGGAACTCCTGGGCTGTGTGCAAGGTTAATCCTGAGCACACAGCAGAAGGGAACTCCTGTAAAACAGCCTGGCAGGAGCGTTGTCTCGGGGTGCTGGTGCAGCTCTGCCACCACTCCAAAGGGAAATGCCACATCAGCCAAAGGACTGCGGATGCCCAGAGCAGAGTCCAAGGCTCCTTGTCCTGCTCCTGCTCTGGAACTGCTGCATTTCCCAGGAACCTGGACAGAATCAGCACCTGCAGGGCAGCAGGACAGGGTTTAGCTCAGGTTGAGCTTATCTTCCAGAGATGAGCCAAGCATTGTGATGCTGATACACGTCAGCGTGCTCCTGAGACTGGATTTCATTAATCTTCATCTGCAATGAGCCACCATGGGAACAAGCAGCATGGACATTCCTTTGTCCCCAGCTCTGTGAAAGTTCAACCCTCAGGGCACCAGCACCTTGGGATGAAAAAGATGATCCATGCAGAAGACAAAGAGGGAAAAGTGAAGAAAAACAGAGTACTGACCTCCACAAATACTGACAGGCAGATAGCCAGCAGATGAAGAAATAAAGAAATTAAGCTAAGTACCTAAAAACCCCAAATCCCTCTGGTTTTGCATCTGCCAGAGCAAGTTTCAGGCAGCCCATGAGAGGCCACCTGTACAGAGCTGTCCAAGTCCAGGGACTGCCTGTGCTGAGCCTGCCAGCCCCAAGGCCCTGAGGAGCTGACCTGAGCCCCTGGAGTGTGGACTGACACCAGCTTTATCTGCAAACATCTTCTGCCCAAGGCTGGAGGCTGGGAATAAGCTCCCTAAGCCTGGCAGCTCAGCGTGGATTGTCCCTCTAATCTCCACAGCAGCACATCCAAGAGCAAGCTGGAGTCCCTCAGCCACAGAACTGGAAATGCCTCAGCTCAGGGGGAAAGGAGATGAATGGCAGAATCTGAAACTCCTGCTTTGTTTTATTTCCTCCTATTTAAAAGGCTGAAACTGTACTTTGCTTCATGTTTTTGAAAGCTCATGTGAAGGATTCTTCACTGGAAGATTTGATTTGGTCTTACAGCTACAAGAGCAGAGCTGCCCATCAGCTCAAGAGCATTTCCAGCACGCAGAGAAAAGAGCCTTTCACCCCTCACACAAACTTCCTATCTCTAGTGGGAAGTCAGGCAGGCAGAGCCACTGGAGCCTCACCAGAGCCTTTGTCCCCAGGAACCCTGATAAGTGATCCAGGGCACTTTGGTGACAGTGACCCCAGGGACCAGAGAGGGGATGGCAGAAGAACTGATAAGGAACAAAATGGTGTTTGCTGTGGTGGTGACACTTGTGTCACAAGAGCTGCTCCCTGGGTCAGATGTGGATAAAAATGTAAATGTTTAACAACAAAATAATCACTATAATCACAGATTAATCAGAATTATCTAATCTGCTCCCTATGTGTTGAACATTATAATTTTTGACTTGGCACAGCTTGGTATCATGAATGCTAGAAAACATTGGAAAGATATTAGACTTCAGTGAACAGACTTCAAGTGATGGAAAATCCACCTTCCCACTCCACTTCTTTTTATGTCAGACTGCTCCCAGTCTTCAAAAATGTGCACCCTGCTCCCATTTAGAACATTTCTAGCTTCAATTTCAACTTTCAATTTTTGTGGTGCTCAACTGGGCTTGAGCTGCTGCCTAAGCCCTTGTGCTTCACCCTGACTTCAGAGGCTTGGTCTGTCTCCAGACCAGTAAGAAAGGAAAGGAAGAAGAAAAGAAGAAGAAAGGAAACCTCACATATTTCTCGTGATGTGCAGCATGGAAGGCAAATAAAACAGTAGTGGCTTCCCAAAGACACAGGAGGTTATAGACTGTCAGGAGGAACACCAAGAAAATGTTGCTTCACATGGGAATAAATAAATGCAGAAATAAAGAAATGAGCTCAGCTCCTCTGCCAGGCACGGGGAGGATGGCACACGGAGCCCAGAGAGCCTGGAGGCTGGCAAGCCACTGCTTAGTTAGCAGCAAATAAATTACTGGGACTGAAAGTTTTCAAAAGCAGCGTTTGATATTTGAGGCTTCACCGAGAGTCGTCCCACACCATTTCCAGAGCACGCTCTGGGGCCACCACTGCTTCCTCAAACCCACGCGGATCTTTCTGACAGCCTCCGAAAGGAGAGTGCCTGGTAGTTAACAGTAACTTAATCAGACAAACCCACGTGTTTTGAGAGTCAGCAAAGTCCACAGCAAGCCCTCTGTGCACCCTGGGGAGCTGGCTATCCCCAGCCCTCCCCGCTCCCTGCTCCACTTGTGCTTGCCCTGCTCACCAGGAGCCTCTCCTGCTTTTTTACCAAAGTGGGAGAGCCCCTGTGTGCAGCTGGCTGGCTCCAGGAGCACGTGGGCAGAAGAACCAGAGAGCTGGGAATTGGCTTTACTCTGTAACATGAAACAACAGCCTGAGCAGACACATTTCTGCCACCCCGCGAGCAGGGCTGGGGCCTTGGCTCTTTCACCCGAATATCTGGAGCATCAATTAGTGACAGAAATGGAAAGATGAGCCCCAGCATTTTGAAACTGCCGTGGTACATAATCCTCAGGAAAATGCCGAAGCTCCTGGCCGAGTTTTCCTGTCTGTAAAAGGCGAAGTGCCCGCGGGCATCCCAAAAGGGCTGCCCCGGTGGCCGCCCTGGCCACAGGTGTGGCACCCGCGTCCCCGCAGCTGATGGAGCGATGACGGGCCCAGCAACATGAGATGGGGACAGCAGGGGCCCGTCAGGTGGGGAGGGGACAGCGACACTTCATCCCGTGCTAAGGCAGCCTCCCGTCGAGCCCCGGCTGAGGGCTCGGATGCCAGGAGAGATTCCATCCCCACCAACGCC